ATAGCGTTTGAGTTCCCTGTGCTGGTGGCCCTGGAGTTCTCTCTACATGTGCCCGACACAGAGGTGTACCCACACTACAGGAGACTGGCCTACCTGTCCTGACCATACACACATGTACAGTACTGTACTGTGCTCACCTAGCTGTACAGAACACTACAGGAGACTGGCCTACCTGTCCTGACCATACACACATGTACAGTTCTGTACTGTACTCACCTAGCTGTACAGAACACTACAGGAGACTGGCCTACCTGTCCTGACCACACACACATGTACAGCACTGTACTGTACTCATACTAGATATTGTGAAATATGGTTTATGAACTACAATCAAGTATTCACTTGTGAATAAGTTCCTGTGTTATACTTGTTTTTGTAGATGATACAATGTGTTCTATAGTTAGGATGTTGCCTTAGCCATAAGGCATTTCTAATTCTAAGAACCCCCCTCTATTTAGTTTACGACATGTTGGTACGAGCCATATTGGCTCAAATAGTAACCACTTAATTTATAGACTAGACCATTCGATACTTGTTCAAGGGGAGGTCAGGACATTTTTCTTGCCTCTTACTCTTTACTGTTAATAATACAATGTATGATGATACCACGTTGATAACTTCAATGTTGTATTAGAACTGTATAGTCACAGATTGTAAACACATGTACAACAGAGATATACATATTATGTAATTACTTACTATATGTAATTTAATATACAAAAAAGTATTCTCATGTAAAATATGTGATTAAGCACTAGTAAAGATTATCCTTCAAACATGTCTGTTATATTTCCCTGTAGTCTTTCAAATGGTGTTTACACAACAGGAACTCTAGATATTTTTGATTAAACTCCCCATATAACATAGCCTGGGTGCCAGACCCATAGCACACTGCATATACACTGCATAGCACGGTGCTCACTGAGATACTTTGTGTCTGCTATGGGTCTGGCACCCAGGCTACACATAACACTATCAACTAAAATGTATGCTTTTGGTTTGCAATTGGACAGAATTGGCACAGTAGCCTCTGCCACGCTTCGGGAGGTGGGTGTGGCAAACTGTACTCTCTGGCGGACCAACTCTATTTGGCCAATTTATGTATACTCTTTCCGGAATTCCAGCCGCCTGCCGAAGCCTGGTAGAGGCTAGGTTGACAGTATGTGGGAGGGGAAGGATTGACAGGCAGAATGACAGGTGAAAGGTTACACACAGACAATTCAGTGACCTTGGAGGCCCCTAGAATCTGAAGTCTACAAGAATTATATGTTGACACATAGGGGAATTCAGGAAGCCAAGTTTGAGCATATTTGACATTCTAGGAACAGCTTGTACTAATACCCTGTAAAATTAGAGTAAAAATTCCTATTATCATTTTGTCAATGTCTTTTGATGTACTTGCACAAATAAACAGCATTTTGGGACAACGTTAGTTTTCTAGATGTAAACATCGCTTACATTGACGTTCATGGTATGCAAACTTGATTCAGGGTGTTGCAAGTGGTCTTAAGGGATCAGGTGGAACAATACTATATGTATGGCAGCTCCCACAGTAATTACACGGGCCGGGCCTGCCACACCGACATTCTTGCCCATTTTCAGCTCAGCTTGCCCTGGTGTAGGTTGGGGCTTTCTGTTGGGAAGACCGTACGCGTGTTGTCTATTGTAGACAAACTGACCCTATCGCCCGGTTGTCGGTGTTGGCGATGGAACAGAAACAAGAAAGCTTTTAAAAAAAGCTGGCTGGGGCGTATTTGGAAGAACTACCTGGAAGTTGCATGTTGTGTTCCGGTAAAGTTGTTGCAAGAATACCAGAAACAAGTGCTTTTAAAAAAAGCTGACATTTCAGCTGACGAAGGTTTTACTGCCGTTATTGAGGTAGAATGATATTACCCAAGTTGATGAAATTGGTACGAGACCACTTAAAGAAGAAAATACATGTGATAAAAAAAGCAAAACAGCGGATGTTAAAAAGAAAATTTGAAAAACTCATACGTCGGGACTTGAACAATTAGTTTTTGAGTGTTTAAAGCAAAACAGCGACTGCTATATAGAAAATTAAAAAAAGCTCCTCGTCCGGGGATCGAACTCGCTATGTG